TTCACCTAGCATTTTCGTCAATATATTTTCATTTATTTAAGCGCTTTTTCATTAAACTCAACTGTTCTCATGCGCGCCGGATACACTTGCTGCTATTCATTTCTTCTTTTTGTTGTCCTTAAGCCGGCATATTCACTTCCTTTTCATTTGTTAGTATATAGCGATAGTCAGTGATTCACTAGTACGTTCACCCAGTGAGCTTCAAGGCTTGGGGTAGAAGTAATGGTAAGCTGAACTGGCCTCCATAATGAAATCTTTGGACCCTAGATTCTAGTCGCAATGGTATGTAGTAATATGAAGCTTTATTATCAATGTTTGTGCTTATTTATCATATCGCACGCCTAGATCTAAAGAGAGCTAACTCAAAGCAAATTAAGAATGATTTTTTTTGCATAAATCAGTTCGTGGGACTTATCTCTTAATATTAATGAAAATATTTGTCTTTATGATTATAATCAATAACTAAAAAACTACTGCTGTACCTCTTTTTTATTAATTGCATTGAATCAGTACGATCGGCAAGCAGTTATATATCCGGATCTGATTTTTTAGTTACATAGCTCCCTATAGATCTAGGTGTGCGATATTTTTATAAAGAGATGAAAATAAATGTCTTAAAGTATCTCATTACTGTATCTCATTACTGGTTAAATAACATGTTTTGAGTTTCCCTCGATAGCCGAAAATATAGCATATTTCCAAAATTATTTTGTCAAAACAGAAACTGATAATTATAGTTGAGCATTTTAGAAAATTTTCAATGCCTATTACCTTATGCACTTCACTAGGCAGAGGCAATTTGTGTATGCTGGGTAACCCTAAAACTTACTATAAAAATAAATATCTATGTAAATTGCAGTGGAAATGTTTACCATTTCAAAGTTGCATTTAGTCTTTGTTTATACCGGTGGGCATGCCTGAGTGTGAACCGGATTTTGCGATGGCTTTTCATTTGTCATTTGAATTGGGGTCAACGCAACATCAACAGTAAAATGTTCACAATCCTATTTTCACTATCATATGCTGCGCCTCATTCACATACACACACACACACACACGCACACGCCCTCCACTCGGCCCACCTGGCACGCGGTCACCATCGCAACTCAACTCAGCGTCACCTCAGCACTCAGCTTCGCTCACTTTGGCTCACTCATTTCAGGCTTTGAGCAAACACTCGGACGAGTTCAACAGCTAAAAAGTGCCGGTAAATATTAACAACATTGCACCCATTTGCGCCCCTTGGGGCTTGTTGGCGCTGCCTGACCTCGAATGCCTTTCTCTTTTCTTTGTGCAAAAAACAATAAAATGCAATTTGGTGCAAAGTGTTTTAATGGGATTTTTTATTTACTCACCGAATCCTCTATCTTTTATTTTTATTTTTTTGTTTTTTTTTTTTGCTCAGCTCCGTTTGTTTAACTTTGTTTATCTACCGC